TTCTCGCTATGTTGATTTTTTTTCTCTTCATGTGAAAGAGAAAGAGTGGGCTAAAAGTACAAAGAAGTGACCATGATTAGAACCAATACATCTTAATTAGCTTGTAAGAAATTGTGATAGGTTAGAAGAATACCCCAGGACAGGAGGGATACCAGAACTGCTAAGCAGACAATTGGCCAAAGGATCGACTTCACTTGTCTCTTTGACGAGTTGATGTTGACCGGCAAGGCTCACTGACGATGCCAGCGAAACGTCTAGTAATGTACGAATTCCACGGTCCGAATTAGGTAATAATCACGCATACTATGGACTCTGAACAAGCTGTGTTCCTCTAGGTCTTCTTGCCAATATGACTGAGTTGCGAAAACAAGGTCAAACAACTTCTATACAACGAAAGGAGACTGCGACCAGACAAAAGGCCACACCATCTTGGTCTTCATACCTTTGATTAATTTTACGTTTATTTATTGTGGCATCCCTCTCTCCATTCGTCCTAAACTCATAGTGCTGCATTCCTGCCCTCCTATTCCCCAATATAATAAGTAAACTGTCTGATGACGAGAACTATCATGATTAATTTGGTAAAGGACGCAGTACTGGGTCTCCCTGCCATCACAACAACATTAGGAAAACAAGTCAATACTAATTTAATGTAAGAGAAAGGAGACTACGAGCAAAGCTAAGGTCAAACCATCTTTGCCTTCATATCCACGATCAAAATGACTTTGGTTATTTTGGGTCTTTGACCACGTATTGGATTATCTGTCCTTTTTTATTATCTCTCTGCAAGTATCTTACCAAACCTAATTAAATAGATCCGAAAAACTCTTCACAAGTGCTATCTTATTCTCACATCATTAACTTTTATTATTAACACTTATACTCTTCCAGCCACCGGTATCGACGGGCTTTCGGGCACACGCCACTGGCTCAAGCTTGCGTATTTATCCCTGATTGACACCGAGGCCCAACAGGGAACTGTGCATCCTCCTCATCCTCAAGCTTATGTAGCTAAGTCAGTTGAATCTGATTCTATAGACAAAACTGCGACTGCTTCCATAGATGCATCTAATGCAACTACTTTTGTGGTAGAACCATCTATAACTTCATCTGCTGTTCCTGGATCCCAACTCAAACAAGAATCAACACCACAGTCACTATCCATTCTTGCTTCCAAGAGCCTCCGTTCACAGTCTTATCTTGCTCCCACTCCTGTCACAACTGGCTCCATAGACAGTGCTCCGGAGCTGAAAACCGGGCCGTCGAATACTAATTTTCCAGTATCTCACCAGGATACGACACCGACACCAAACAATATTCTACGCGAGGCCTACCTGACGCTGTTATACTGGCCAGAAGAGGAGATATTTCCCGAGGTCAGTCGCTAAATCACCCTGATTTCCATACTCACTCAAACCAAACCATTTATTTTACTATTTTTGTTATATTTAGCATGGAGTTCTTTGAACAGATCTCTATCCCAACTTCCCTTTGGTCCTTGTAGCATTTCCTTAAGGATATGACGAATTTATTGTCTGCCAGTTGATTAGGTTGTTATTAGATTTTACATAAGCTTGATCAGTCACAGTCTTGGTTAAACTCTCAGATTTTTATTTGTTATATTCTGTATCCCTCATTACAGAGCGTAGACTATCACTGTATTTTATAGGGTTGTATAGATTTTAATCTCTTCCTACTATCCTCTTTTACCATCTTTTTATGCTTGTTTATCTGGTAAACTTTGCGAAGCTGAGCTGTATGTATCCAATTAGATTTGGTGTATTTCTTATTAAATATTTGGCATCTGCATTAGCCACCCTTTTCTTCTTCCCCTCATCTTCTATTCACTTTTGGATACTGTTAATTCGATTCCACTTAGTGCAGACGATGCTGATGGACCACAAGCGTCTTCTTCAACTGGCAGGGCACTTGCGCCGCCTTGTTACCGTGGTCAGCCTGCTATTGATCACTTGCACCTTGATCTCTGATCATGTTAAGAGCATGTTAGCTTCGATGGCTTCTGTTGGAGATGGCCAACTTGGCTCACAAGCCGATGGCCACAGCAAAACTCACTCGCGGATACTGAGGCGGCTTTCAGAATCAATGCAGAATCTCAAAGCTTCCCTTTATATCGATGTCACTGCCATACTGGAAGTCACGTCAATCAGGTTGGTTACTTTTTCTTATCTCTGACTAATTTCTAGATAATCCTGTTTTTTTCGTAAATTCTTAACCTATAAACTATAAAGTTGTTCTTGGTTTCAATGAAACTATTTTTTCGCTCATTTTCTTATCTTCTCTTATCTTAGGATTTGAACAGGGTGTGCATGCTTATTTCATACTCAATGGGCGGGATATAGAATAGCTGGAATTATGGCTCTTCTCTTCGATCAGAGCCATTTTATTTATGTATGATTTGGCATTTTCTACTCTACTCACAGTGCTGTTTTATTGTATAGTTCCTATTCAATTAATTATATATATAACTCATATATGAGATGTACCCATTTCGTTAAAGTTTATGAAGGACTGGCTAGATGACCATACAGACCCATATGTTTGTTCGGAATTCCCCCTTTTGTCTAGTTTATCTCCTGTTCTATTTCCACAACTATCTAATGATATCAAAGGATTTTTTTGGATGAAACTAGAGTTTTGTAAGTATCGTGTTGCATACTTTGTGGTATGAAGTATAATGTACTGAGTCGCATTCTTAGAAAGCCTTAAACTCATATTCCTTGGAGTTGGAGACTAGTGGTGTTACACGCTGTGCTATAGTTAAGTTGGGAAGGATTTTCCACGATGGATTTAACAATCTGATCTACTCAATTTTGAGGTATTTAAGGCTAATTGAGTAAAGGAATGTGGGCATTGAAATTACGTTAGATTAGCTTCACTAGGTAGGCTTTACGGATAAAAATATACTTCGCTTCATAGCGGAGAAAAGCCTGGTACCTGCAAATCTTTCACTAAGGCTTACGTAGCTGGGAGAGAATAATTAATGATGTCATATTTTAGACAAGTAACAGGAATTTCTGAAAGCACTTAATGT